AGCTAAGTCATAATTATGAGATACTACCTCATAATTATGAGATAGCTAAGTCATAATTATGTGATACTACCTCATAATTATGAGATAATACCTCATAATTATGAGATACTACCTCATAATTATGAGATAGCTAAGTCATAATTATGAGATACTACCTCATAATTATGAGATAGCTAAGTCATAATTATGAGATAGCTAAGTCATAATTATGAGATAGCTAAGTCATAATTATGAGATAGCTAAGTCATAATTATGAGATACTACCTCATAATTATGAGATAGCTAAGTCATAATTATGAGATAGCTAAGTCATAATTATGAGATACTACCTCATAATTTTGAGATAGCTAAGTCATAATTATGAGATACTACCTCATAATTATGAGATAGCTAAGTCATAATTATGAGATACTACCTCATAATTTTGAGATAGCTAAGTCATAATTATGAGATACAAGTTTTATTTTTTATCAGGGTGGCGGAAATGGGCTTCCATACAGGTCAGAGCAGCTTTGGCATTGGCACAAACGAAATTTGAGTTCATATGTTGGATTCTGTTATTTGTCCTTGTCTGAGTGAAATTTTCAAATTTTTGCGACACCCCCCCCCCCCAATTATGGCCTCTGAAAAGAAAAAAAAAACCCTCTCAGATTAAAAATCTAGGGTTACCCAATCTCTGTTAATCTGAACTAAATCCGTCTAATCGGCAGTGAAAATTACACAGTGTGCTGTAATGTCCGCAAAAATCAAACCAGCGGAGGTGAAACCGCAACTTCTCCCTGGAGGGCATTCTGGACGTCGCATGCTGTGTTCTGAACAATCTGTTAGGCGCGAGACAAAAGCCCGTGACGGGTTGTGGAAGGAGGAATCCGTGCGCCTGTTTCCGTGCGTTTCACAACGTCTGGTTTGGCACACATGTGACCTCCACCAAAAAAATAAAATAAAATAAAAAAAAAGAGATAATTATTGTTAAGTTCTGTAAGAAAACTGTAGCTGATGGAAATAAGAAAGACAGAGACAGAGTGTGTGTGTCGCTGTGGAGAGTATTGATTCCGTGAGCGCACTCCAATTGGCAGCCGCTCCTACTACACACCGCGCCGGCGCGTCATCCTCGGCTCACATCGACGGAGCGAGTTGTAAGCAAATGAGAACATGTGTGGCATCTGAGAGAGTGAGAGGTGGGGGGGAAAAAGGCAAGAGGAGGTGTGAGAAATTTTTAATCTTCCTGACAACTGGATTTGATTGCCGGGCTCTTCTTCCCCTCTTCTTTCTTTAAATTATATATAAATATATTTTTCCAGGCAGGGGACAATGATCGATTCGTCACATGCGCGTGCCTCTTCATTATAATCGCAGACAGTTGGGAGCTGTTCAGGCTGAACGGACTTGAATACGTCGCTGCCAGCGTAATCCGCGCAGACTGGAAGATTTAATAATTCACGGTAATCACGCGTTATCGCCTCAGTGGATGCTCTCTACACAGCTCTGGTGATTTTTCTTTCTTTTATTATTAATATTATTATTATTATTCCTGTTGTCTTCTGGAGGATTTATCGACGGCTGCTTTGCTCCTTATCTGAAATATCATCTGTTGCTGCAACTGGATTGAGAAGCTCCCTCTCTCTCTCACACACACACGCGCGCGCGCGCACACACCACCTTCATGACTGATTTAGAGATTTAGTCCATTATGGATCGTTAAACAAGAAGATTATTTTCAACCATCCCTCAATCCAACTCTTGTTAAAATGGACAAAAAACTGTTGTTACTTTTATTACTCCTCTTATCTCTGCACGTGCGGCTGTGATTTGGCTTTCATTCATTATGATCCTCCTCTGCTGAATTGGCTCTATTGATTCTGACTGAGCTTTTAATAGGCACGTTACAAGGCAAATTCCAGCGTGAGGTGATACTGAGGACAGTTTTTTTTTCTATAGCCCCTTTTTTTTGTTTTAACGTTTTTATAATAATAAAAGAATCAACTAAAGGATAGATGTTGATGATGGAGGACGACGAGCTGGACGCTCATCAGGTTGATTCGGATTTCGAGCCGCAGAGCCGGCCTCGCTCGTGCACCTGGCCGCTGCCTTGCCCGGAGGATTTCCACGAGGTGAGCGGGGGTCTTCCGCTGGCCAGCATCAAGGTGGAACCGGAGGACGTGCCGGCGTGCCGAGCCGGGCTCGTGGGCGGAACGCCGGCGGAGCTGAAGCATCCAGCCGGCGCCCTGGCGCCCACGGGCGCGACGCACCCACCGTGCTTGGCCGGCGCGGCGCTCGATGTGACCGGCTCCCTGCGCAAAGCCAAGTCCTCGCGGCGGAACGCGTGGGGGAACCAGTCCTACGCGGATCTCATTACCCGGGCCATCGAGAGCACCCCGGAAAAGAGGCTCACCCTGTCACAGATTTACGACTGGATGGTCCGCTACGTGCCCTATTTCAAGGATAAGGGCGACAGCAACAGCTCAGCTGGCTGGAAGGTAAGGAACGGACCCACAGGAGCCAGCGTGGCGGGGTTTGACGTGTTAATCAGTGATAATAGCCTATTGATTATTATTCCCTGAGCCATTATTATTCTCTCACCCCTCGTGCGTTACACATGTTAGTGTGGGATTCCGTGTCAGTTACGCATGAATGGTGCCATGCCTTATCTTGTCTTAGTTCATTACTGCCGTCTGTCATTCTAATATATCACTGATGGCAGAATGTAATAGACTGGAGTGAACACCTATCCAACAGCAAATGGCCATAGACATCAGGGTTTAGAAAAGTGCACAAAATCCCTTCACCCTCTGCATCACAGCTGGTTTATTTTCACACATGTTGTCTCCACAAAATAATCATCTCATGGCTTTAAAACACATGTGTGAATCAACAGTGTGTGACACTTGTGGAGAGGGAGAGCGCGGGTCAGCTGGCCACAATGTAAATATTCACAACTGACCACAGTCCACTACCGCTGCCTGCCTGTCTGGCTGAGAGCCTAACCTCCTGGACATCTGCCCATGCTATCAGCCTTTTCCCCTACCAGCCTCATCTTGTTTCTATTCATTAAAGCATCTGAGGACAGCAACAAGGGTGGGGGGAGGGGGGCAGTGAGATCAACAGGGCATCAGTGTTAGTCCTGTTGAACTGAGCTTTGAAAATATATGAAATTGCAATCTTTCGAGGTTTAAGAAAAACCAAGGGACGAGAGTCCGATACAATTTCTTGTCGGTCAATCGTTCCTTTCTCGCAGAACATTTCCCCCCCTTGCTAAATCTTTGAAGAACAAGACTATCTTTGTGGATCTAGTTGGATAATTACCATTCAAACTGTTGGCATGCTTTCATACTTAATTTTCTTTTTGATAAAATTTGGTCCTGTCAAAACTTGCTACGACGTTGCGTAACACGAGCTCTGTCACCAGCTGCAGTTGAGTCTCCTCAATCGTTACCTCACAGCACCTGAATGACACTTTAAACCTGTCCCTTTAAACTCGACTGCCGAGGTGTGTCTTCAGGTTTCATTAGCTCACATTCACTCCCAGCCATCTTCAACCACAGGGCCTCTTTACTTACAGTGCCAAAGTCCCAGTCTGCTATTTATAAAACTGCAAATTAGGGGGCCTTGACTGTGTTAGTCTGAGGTTCTTGGCTATTTCAGTCCACTGGCGAGACACTGGCCATTCCAGGTAATGAAGGGGGATTAGGTAAGTCATTTAAAGCAGGCATCCCTTGTGTCAGTACCTGGCTTGACCTGGGTTCCGTCAGAGATAGTGATATATTCATAAATACTTGAAATGCTGTCATACAAAATAATAGTTTTTTTTTCTGATAAAGCCACCTACATTTTGATCAGGTTTGTTGAAAACTTTGCCTTTGGAATAAGAATCATGTTTTAGTCGGCAGAAGTTTAAGTTCATAAACACAAGTATTATAATATGCATGCAGCATTATGCGACAATAAATGCCCTTAGTTGTAAAGTATATAATACACAGATAACCAGTTAGGAAAAACTTTGACAAAGTTGTTCAAGATCCAAATTTCTTACCTCCACAAACACAAGTCCCACATCAGTCATTTCATTTTCCAGTTGTTTCAGGCAATTATATCTGACAGCAACATTTGCAATTTGGGAAATGTTTGTGTCATCTACAGCATTTTAATCTTTATCTTGCTTGAACAAAACATTTGACGTAAAGCCGTCTGCCTTTTTTCTGTTAAGACAGGGAAAAAAAAACGAGTGAGGGAGGGAGGGTTGAGAATTGAAGGTATAATGCTGATGAAACCAAATGAAATTAAGAGGTATATCTTTGTAATTTGACTGCGAGTCTTGAAGGTGACGGTTGGACTGCGGATGATGGATCAAAGGCAAAGACGTGTCTACGATATTTTATTAAACTCTGGCCAAAGTCCAACAGAGGGGTTCTAGAAAAATCTTGAAAAGCAGTTTGTGCTGCTCTGATTTGAGGTGGAAAGGAGGTGATGCAAGCTTGATGATGGGTACCGGTGAGCCAGGACAGCTAGGCTGAACTGTTAGGTTCCTACAAATACCCAGAGGGCTTCTGACTTCTAAGAAGGCTGCAGTATTCTGAGGTCATTGTTTTCTAATCAGCTTTTTTTTACTGGAGTGAGGATACATGGAACTGTGTTCTTGTGAACCGTGTTAGATTTTCCACTAAAGATTTTAGTCATTCTGCGCTGTAGAGAAGTGGTAGCTTCTCTGATGTGAATTTCCCAGCAAAGCCAAGAAACTGGCTAATTAAAGTTACAAACTCATGTTTATCACTGAACGTCATGTCTGTGAACATCCATGTGTACATTTTGATGCACTCTACGTTTATGCTTGGGAACCGCACGTCAGGCGTAACAAAGCGTCAGGGTTGGTTCTGCTCCGTGCTTCTTTCTGGGGGCTTCTGCAGGGGGAGGGGCTGTCTGCATCTATAGYCGTCTGTGTTTTAGCCTGCTGATTGGTCTGACAGCATGTCACAGCAGTGAATGGTATATGTAGTCTCCCTATTGACTTCATAATGTCTTTAATGATGGAGTAGTACTTGGTGTTGGGATTGCCCTGTAGGCGCCCAGAAGTTCATTAACTTGAAGAAGGTTAGATGAGGCCATTGTTATGCTGAGTGGGACAGCTTTATTGTATATGGCAGCATGGGTGGCTATGGAATATACAAATCCATAATTCATGAGTGCGTTTTGTGTATTAGGCATATTAGAATAAAACTGTATGGTAAATTCAGCACATTATTTCATCCTTTCGGGCAATTGCAGCTACAGAGCAAGTGAATGAAGTATATTTTTGTCTACTTTCTTTATACACAAAGTTTTTCTTTGTGTGTTGTTATTGTGCCAGGGCATTTTTTRCCCCTGGATTTTGCGCCAGTCAGATCCCAGTGGATTGTGCAGCAGGTCATCAAGAGTGCCAGGCAGTCACTCAGACACTTTAATCCAAAGCGACCAGACTGTTATTTATAAATCGACTTTAGGTAGAGGTCTGTGCAGGGCATGGAGGGCAAAGGGTCACCAGGGCTTCCTTTATTGACACAAGTCAGCCAGGCCAGAAAAAGCTTAAAAGAAAAAAAAAAAGAAAACAAAAGCAGAAGTAATGTGACAGCGACTGAGTTAGAAGGAAAGACAAACTGCCTTTGGGGAAAATTTAAGGAGAGCTGTAAAGCTGTCATCAGGTATAAATATTGTCTGATCATCTGTAAAAGCACATAGCCCCTATCTTTCTACATAGCAGTATTTACAACTGGCTATATGACTAATTGATTTATCGGTAAAAAGAACGTCTCTTGTTTTTTGAGCTCAGACACTTTTAGTAGACAGACACTTGGTATGAGAAGACAATGAAAGTTAAACAAARGACAGAAGAGCGAGTTTGACCAAGGCTTACAGAGATGTAGAAAAACTTGAAGCATTCAGTGTACAGAGTRAGAGGCTTGAGCTGCACGGTGTGCGTGTACACATGTAAGTCCGTGRCACTTGATGTTTCTCGTGGACTAGAAAGAATCCGAGGCTTCTGCTGATTCATATTTTATTCCGTCTTGGCTCATGGGAGCAGAGTAATTTAAGTCTGAGACAGAAACATTCACATGCTTACACTCACTCTGAATGAGAGCYTATGATGCATGCTGGACAGATTTATGGTGCAGGATTATGAACACCTTCTTTACCTGGAGCCTGTTTGGGTTCGAGCAGTATATTTAGCTTCAACCGGGTACCTGATGCCAAAAAGCCCATTCTCTCTTCCTTTCCCCCCCAGCAGCCTTCAGGCAGCCGTGACAGCTTATTTCTCACTGAAATGATTAATGTACATGCAAATTACCAAAGCATGGGCATGCATTCAAATATGGGAGACGGCAATCAGGAGACAGTAATAAAAAAAACAATATTATTTTGCCTTTGATATTGCTTTGGCAACTTTTATCACAATATCTCCTAGACACCCTTGTTATCTCTCCTTTTATCTCCCGGCTCTCCTCTTATGCAATGTCTTTCAAGCCATTAGACATTCTATACATTCTTTCTGTCTTAGCGGTTTTAGGTACAAGGGCCAATTGAGGTGAGGAGTCTTTCCCAAGAGCGCTGTGGCGCTGGGGTTTTGAGCTTTAGCCATGTTCCAGATGGCCTCAAGCAGAGCGCCTCCTCTTATCTGCGAGAAATRTCACATCTCACATTATCTTAGAGATAATAGGATATCAATGCTAAATTTTACTCAGTTCAGCTTTGCTCAGAAAGTAAGAATGAGATTGTCAATTCTCCAATTGGACATAGTTGAGCTAATTTGCTTCTTAAACATGGCTTTTTTAGCGTATTTTTAACCAAGCCGTATCACTGTTCATTATTAGTTTGGTGATGTGTTTGGTGCTTTTTCTTAAGTATAATGACGGAATGAGAAGTTTTCATCTTTTTTTTCCAATTGAACTTTCCATTTAGGGTAATGCTTTCTAGTATTTCCAATGGCTCAGACACAATCATTTGCAGAAAACACACAACATTGTAGTGCATCATCCTCAAACCACCCATTGAGGAACACTCTGTTCTTGGGTGGGGTGAGAGGAAGGGGCTGACCACGATGGGAGGTGGTTTGCCATCCTAGTTGTTATGAAATCTGTCTGACTTCTMTCGATTGGTTCACTTGGAAGGCGTGGCTCGGTTTAGTAAGCTCCTGCGGATTTTTAGCAAAACCAGTTACAGATACAGGGACACAATGTGTTGCTTTTTGAGGTCGTGTTTAACTTGATGCCATGGAGATTTAATTGGAGGGAGACCTGAGTGTTACGCCACTGCTGCATGAATAAAAACAAATATTTTTACTTCCAAATAGTTAGTCACGAAACCGGAAGGGAACAGAAAATGTTTTTAGTAGACGCACAATTGTGGACTTGRACCCACAGTACCTGATTTTTTGATACAACGGGAGGGAAATAACCRATGTTTTCCTGCTTGATTACTTGTCAGTCACATCATGGCGATACAAGCCCTC